CCCCAAAACCCCAAAACCCCAAAACCCCAAAACCCCTATTTTAACTAAGTTAGATGAAAGAGATATAATAATTTAAATGAAGATTATTTCAGTTCTTGCATTATTATTACTAGTGTCCCCCACCCTGGGCTTCTGGTCAACTGGTCACATGATCATTGCCAGAATCGCACATGAGGAGATCAAGGCTAAGGATCCAAAATATCACGCTACTATTACTAAAGAGATCGAGCTTTTGAAAGATTTTGCACAGGAAGAGATCAACCCATTTGTAGAATCTGCAGTCTGGGCTGACGATAACAAAGCCATTGCTTGGGGAGCCTTCAGCAACTGGCATTTCGTTGATACTCCAGTCATTGCCGAAGGTTTTGAAGGAGAATATGAAGTCGATAATGCCAATGCTACTTGGGCTATCTATGAAATGAGAAAGACCTTGAAGAACATGAACAAGCCTAAATTCAACAGCGGACTTGCTCTTTCCTTCGCTTGGAGATACTTGATTCATCTTGTTGGTGATATCCATCAGCCACTCCACGCTTCTGCTCTCTACTCTGATCAATTCCCACATGGAGATAGAGGAGGCAACAGCTTCAAGATTACCTACCCTGCTGATAAGCAAGTGAAGAATTTGCATGCTCTCTGGGACTCCTGTGTTGATCAATATGGATCCATCTGGGCTCCAGTCAGTGATGAAGAATGGAATCTTCTTGGAAAGTACTCAGATGACATCAAATCTGAATATCCAAGAAGCAGAGTTGACAAGAGAGTTAAGGTCCTTGATGAAAGAGAGTGGGCCAAGGAGAGTAACAAGATCGCCACCGAAGTTGTCTATGCTGACATCGAGCCAAACACAACCCCATCTGAGGAGTACATCACCAGAGGAAGAGAGGTTGTTAATGAGCAACTTGCCGTTGCTGGATACAGACTTGCTGATCTCATGCTTCAGTTAAGACACTATGTTTCTGAAGGAGAAGAAGTTGAGTCATTCATGACTGAGTAACCAATATTATTCTGAACCTAATGTTGATTCCAACCTCAATCTTGTAAAGGAGGAAAGGGGTTTTGGGGTTTTGGGGTTTTGGGGTTTTGGGGTTTTGGGGTTTTGGGGTTTTGGGG